AATTGGACAATCTAGAAGAAATGAATAAATATATAGAAACACAATTATCCAAGACTGAACTACAAAGAAACAGAAAATCTGAGTAGAGCAATTATGAAAATTGAATCAGTAATCAAAAACCTCCAAACAAACAAAAGTCTAGGGCCAGATGGCTTCACTAGTGAATTCTACGAAACATTTAAAGATTTAATATCCATCTTTCTCAAAACTCTTCCAAAAAATTGAAGAGGAAGGAATGCTTTCAAACTCATTTTACATGGCCAGCATTACCCAGATACCAAAACCAGACAAAGACACCACAAGAAAAGAAAATTGTAAGACAATATCCCTGATGACCATAGATGTAAAAATCCTCAACAAAATATTAGCAAATTGAACAATACATTAAAATGATCATATACTACAATCAAGTGGGATTCATTGCAGGGATGCAAGGATGGTTCAACAATCACAAATTAATCAACATGATACACCACATTAAAAAAGGAAAGATAAAAATTATATGATCATCTCAAGAGATGCAGTAAAAGCTTGGACAGAATCAAACATCCACTTACAAAAACTCTAAACAAAGTAGATATAGAAAGAGCATACCTCACTGGGTGTTACATGTAAGTGATGAATCACTAAATTCTCATGAAACCAGTATTACACTATACGTTAACTAACTAGAATTTAAATAAAAATCTGAAAAGAAAGGGGCGCCTGGGTGGCTCAGTCAATTGAGTGTCTGACTCTTGATTTTGGCTTGGGTCATGATCTCGGGGTTGTGGGATGGAGCACCTGGTCAGGCTCTGCACTCAGCATGGAGTCTGCTTGGGATTCTCTCTCTCTCCCTCTCCCATGACCCCTCCCCCTGCACTCACGAGCTAAAATATTTTTTGGAAAAAAAAAAAAGAGAGCACACCTCCACATAATAAAGGCCATATATCACAAACTCACAGCTAACATCATACTCAATGGTAAAGAGCCAAAACTTTTCCTCTAAGACAAGGAACAGGACAAGGGTGCCCACTCTCACCACTTTTATTCAACATAGTATTGAAAGTTCTAGCCACAGCAGTTAGGCAGGAAATAAAAGGCATACAAATTGGAAAGAAAGAAGTAGAACTATCACTATTTGCAGATGACATAATACTACAAAATAGAAAACACTGAAGACCACACAAAAAAAAAGAATTAGTATTGATGAATTCAGTGAAGTTGTAGGATACAAGATCAATATACAAAAATCTGTTGTTTCTATACATGAATAATGAACTGTCAGAGAAATCAAGAAAATAATCCCAATTAGTTACATCAATAAGAATAAAACACCTTGGAATAAATTTAACCAAGGAGGTGAAAGACCTGTATACTGAAAACTCTAAGCCATTAATGAAAGAAATTGAAGAAGATGTAGATAAGCAGAAAGATATGTCATCTCATGGATTGGAAGAATTCATATTGTTAAATAGCCATACTAACCAAAGCATCCTACAGATTTACTACCATTCCTATCAAAATGCCAATAGCATTTTTCACAGAACTAGAACAAGTAATTTTACAATTTATGTGGAACTACAGAAGACCCTGGATACTCAAAGCAATGTTGAGAAAGACCAAAGCCAGAGGTATCATGCTCCCTGATTTTAAACTAGAACACAAAGCTATAGTAATCAAAACAGTATTGCACTAGCACAAAAACACAAAGATCAGTGGAACAGATTCAAGAGCCCAGATATAAACCTTCACGAATATGGTTCATTAATTTTTGACAAATGAAGCAAGAATACCCAAGGGAGAAGAGACAGTAAATGGTGTTGGGAAACCTAGATCTGCTACACACAGAAGAATGAAACTGGACCATTATTTTATACCATATAGAAAAATTAACTCAAAGTGCATTAAAGACTTGAAGACCTGAAACCATAAAACTCCCAGAAGAAAACATAGGTGGTAAACTCCGTGACATCCATCTCAGTGATGTTTTCTTGCATTTGACTCCAAAGACAACAGGGAAAAAGCAAAAATAAGCAAATTGGACTACATCAAACTAAAAAGCTCTGCACAGTAAACTATCAACAAAATGAAAAGGCAACCTACCCAATGGAGGAAGATACTTGCAAATCATATATCCAGTTGTATTCATATCCAAAATATATAAAGAACTCAAACTCAATAACAGAAAAATCCAGTTAAAAAATGGGCAGAGCAGTAAAACAAACATCAAGTAGAGCGTTTATTCATTATCTTAGTAGCAATGAAACTGCAGTTCAGATGTTAAAATTTGACTCAAGATGTTATAACCAAGTCATGTAAAAAAAAAAATGGTAGAGGATCTAAATAGACATTTTTCCAAAGACATCCAGATGGCCAACAGGCACTTGAAAAGATACTCAACATCACTGATCATGAGAGAAATGAAAAAAACACAATGAGACACCACCTCACACCTGTCAGAATGGCTGTTATCAAAATGACAAGAAACAACAGGTGTTGGTGAGGATGTGGGAAACCCTCATATATGGGAATGTAAATTGGTGCAGCCACTGTGGAACAGGGTATAGAAGTTCCTCGAAAAACTAAAAATAGAAGTGCCCTCTGATCCAGCAATTCCACTACTGGTTATCTATCTAAAGAAACTGAAAACACTAATTTGAAAAGATATATGCACCCCTGTGTGCATTGCAGCATTATTTACAGTAGCCAAGATACGGAAACAACCTTCTTGTCCATTGATGGATGAATGGATAAAGATGTGGCGCGCACGTGTGTGTATACAGTGGAATAGTATTCAGCCATAAAAAAGAAAGAAATCTTGCCTTTTGCAACAACATGGATGGACCTAATGGATGTTATGCTCAGTTAAATAAGCAGATACAAAGACATATACCACAAGATTCCACTTATATGTGGATTCTTAAAAAATCAAACCAAACCAAACCCAGATTCATAGAGAACAGATTGCCCATTGCCAGAGGGGTAAGTGGGTTGGAGTAGGGAGCAAAATGGTAAAGAGATCAAGAAGTGCAAGCTTGTAGTTATAAATAAGTCGTGTGGATTTAATGTACAACATGGGGAATACAGTCAATAATATTAACTTTGTATGGTGACATGATAACTAGACCTACTGTGGTAATCATTTTGCAATGTATATAAATATGTGGAATCATCAGGGTGCACACCTGAAACAAATAATATTTTATATCAGTTATACCTTGGTTTTTTAAAAAAGCTAAGCAAATGACTTAATTTTCATTGCATGTCTGTAGGACTCATAAAATTGAAGTGTCCATAGCAATGGTCTTAAAGAATAGTAGGGTTAGTTACTGCGCAGGGGCAACCAGCTGTTCTTCATTCTCTAGTAAGGCTGGGAAAGAAGGAAATTAGCTTCAAGTATAATAGAAGAGATTTACAAGACTTGTAATGAGAAATTACTCATCAACCAAGAATATTTTAAAAATAAGAGCAGATAGCCAGTGAGTAGAAGTAGAGGAATGATGTCTTCCATCGGTTTTGACATAGACTATAACATCTGCTCGAGGAACTTAAACTTGATAGCTTATTAGATCCAATAGTTTTCAGCTTTTGGGAAGTCATAGACACCTTTGAGAATCCGATGGGGCTCCTCTCCAGAAAAATGAACACACAAATAAAATTCTGCATGCAATTTCAGGGAACTTACAGACTCCCTGAAGTCTATGCATTAGACTCTGATTTAAGACCCACTGGATTAGAGGATTTCTGTTAAGTCCTAAACTGTGACACACTCCATGGCTTAATTTTCCCAAACATAACAATGGAATCTGAAGATCAAATGTCAAACTTTGGATTTTCTTCCTCTAGATGTATCATACTTGGCGTGCACAGTGTTGAAGTAAAAACAAAAAAATAGAATTCTACTTTAAATTCAATTCTTGGTCCTAGAGAAGCCCGATGTTTAATTATAAAAGTCACTGGTTGGCTGTATATCATCTTCATAAACACAACAGTAAGACTAGGCCTTCACCCGGTCCCCACTGCCAGCTCCGCATTCGCGGAGGACATGCAGACAGAGATGCTGGCATTATTCCACGTTCATACACCTCCTAACTGCGCTGCTGTGAATGGCCGGCTGGGCTTGGAGGGACTGTCTACCTACAATTCTCTTTAGTCTTATGCCCAAGTTTCATTGACTACAAGTTGGAAAATGACTACCCAGAATTACAAATCAGGAAATAATTTGCCCTCTCCCTAAAATAAAGCACGTTCATCCTCTTAGGAAGTAAGAGCATGTGTGTGTTAAACTTGGGATGGGTTCCTCCAGACCAGGTAAGTGAGTGCAACCCTATGTGGTTTTCCCGTTCCCTCTGCAACTCGCCTCTAGTTTACCTGCAAGTCCTGTAGCACTGCCTCTAGTCCCAAATTAGAAACGTCCTTGTCTCTTATACCCGGAATCAAAAACTCCGGAATCCCACACTTCCCTCTGGGCAAGAACATCATTGTCACGTCTGCACCTTGTTGTCGGTCTTCACTGTACTTTATGCTGCTAAGGCCAAGGCTTAAATTCGTAACTGGGACTCTCTCATTGAAATTAGAAACACTGCTGATGAATGGGAGGCAAGTGGTCTCAGCCAGGGTCTCCTGGGACCGTGCACGCCGTAGGTTGGTTCTTCTGACAATTACTCCTTCCCGTTGTTGAAGGGGAGAGGCGCTTAAGTATTCTCCCCTCTACCCACCGCGGAAATCTTCACATGACATCTGTGGACAGATACTCTGGGGTGAACTCTGCCACTGCTCCAAGACCTTACCGGGCTGATAAAGGTTGTTGGGAAGCTGGAATCAAGGAGGACAGGCCATCCTGGCACCTATCCCAGCTGTGGCTCCGCTTAGTGACTGATGGAGCCCCTCTGTTCCCTAGAAAGCCTGTTGGCAGTTCACACCCATAAAGCTTATTTAGGTCTCTCTGGGATTGAAGCTTATGGTAGAATCGCACATGCTGGTGAATATTTATTCCTTGTGTGTCTCCCTCCCCACAGAGAACGTGATCAATGGGCAGGATTATGAAGTGATGATGCAGATTGACTGTCAGGTGATGGACACCCGGATCCTCCACATCAAGAGCTCGTCAGTTCCCCCTTATCTCCGAGATCAGCAGAGGAATCAAAGCAACACCTTCTTCGGCTCCCCGCCAGCAGCCCCGGAAGCAGCCCATGTTGTCCGCACCATCCCGGAGTCATTACAATAGCCTCTGAGGCTGCGCCAGAAAACACGGTGGGACCCTGCCCCCACCGCGCTGGAGAGCAGGGGAGAGACCTGTTCCTGTCCGCCCTCTTGGTGGCAGGCCGAGAGCTGCCTTGCAGTAGGGTTCCAGGGGTAGCAAGAAAAGTTGTTTTTCACCGTCTGCCCTTCTACTGGGAAAGCACTGATGCTCAGACACAAGGGCAGTGGCCTTTCTCCCACGGCAAATGTTGCCTGCATCCTCCTTGCTGCCTGGTGTCGAATTTTTTATGTACCTTCCTAAATTGCTTTTCCTCCTATATTTCTTTTGTGTTTAAATAGTCCTCTTTAAAATAAGATCTTCTTCCCTTCTCTGCCATTTCACTTATTGATAGAGATTTTTATTTATAGCTGTACAGCACACTGATGTTTCCAGTAATTAGAGTTTTTATTAATTTAATGCAAATCCATTCTGGATATTGTGCTTATTGGAAACAGATTTCAAAACCAGAACAGCCAAAAACGTCCCCCAAAAGGGTCAAGACAGTTGAGGGCTTTAGGTAAAAGGGAGAAATCCCAACTGGGTAAAGTTGGTCCTCGCCCGGGAATTGTGGCTCCCGCCTGAGCCGGCGCGTGCGTAACTGTGTGGGACACCGGCGCAGGGCAGTGGGGTGGAGAGACTGTCAGGGAAGAGCAGGGTCCACGTGGGCCAAGGGAGGAGGAACCAGCTGTTAACACACGTTTCGGGTGCCTGGGTGGCTCAGTTGGTTAAGCGACTGCCTTCGGCTCAGGTCATGATCCTGGAGTCCCGGGATCGAGTCCCGCATCGGGCTCCCTGCTCGGCAGGGAGTCTGCTTCTCCCTCTGCCCTCTTCCCTCTCGAGCTCTCTGTCTCTCATTCTCTCTCTCTCAAATAAATAAATAAAAAAAAAATCTTAAAAAAAAAAAAAAAAAAAAAAAAAACACACGTTTCAAACACTGCAGGTTTTGATGTGACTGGAGTTAAAATGGAAGCCACAGCAACCTTTTATTCTGAGGCCACCGAGTGTTAGCATATGTGCTTATATGTTCTCTGTACTCGTCTGGTGCAGGTCCGCAAGGACCCTGGGACAAATCCTTCAGCTTTACTGCGAATCCCCACCCACGACACACCTTCTACTAGTATGACGATACTGAATTCGGCTAAGGAACACGCAGGGTGATGTTAAGCAAACGAGTTTTTTTTTCTCATGAGAATTGGCAGGTATTTATTCCTTAAGACTCTGCAGACAGGCCAGCTTGGATTCCTGTTCAGGGAGTGCATTCCACAATCCAGCAATAATTTTCAGTTTCTCCAGTGAATAGACAGTGAAGGAATTGACTTTTTTGTCCTCCCATGGTAAAAAAAAAGAAAAAAAAAAAGAAAGAAAGAAAAAATAGCCCTACTGTGTTCCCTCATATCTTACTGTACTTTTGACTACTTTCTTCTCCTCTCTGGTGTTCTGCCTTCGGTTTCTAAAGTGAGTCTTCCTGTTCTCCTATGCAACTTCGCACTTTCTCGCTAGAACTCGTTCTGCAGACACAGCTTCTTCCCCTAATCCACTTGCCTGGGTCGGTGTTCTTCCCTTCCAGTCCCCGCTCCGGCCTCCCACTGCTCTGAGTTGGAGGAGGAAGGACTGTGGGTGTGAGTCCCGTGGGGTGTCCTGCGGCCGGCCCCCTCCTGCCCGCAAGGGTCGGCCTGGCTTCTAAATAATTCTGAACAATCACTCAGGCTTCCACCTCTGGACAGTGGCACCTCTGTGCCCAAGCTCCGCTGGATGCGCCCCGAGGAGATCCGGGTAACTTCGAGCGGCCGACGGGGCGCTCTGCTGCCCGGGTCCCCAGGAATCTGGGGTTTGGCGGCATTAACAAGCCTCGCTCTGCCCCCCACATGAGCCTGCTACAGCCCCCACTGCGGCTGCTGTCCGGGGCGACGTCCACACGGGAACCACCTTCCCCGGGGCCGCTCCACCTCTGATGGGCGCCAAGCCCATGTGGACAAGACCTGAACGTGGCAGGACAGCCTTCTCTCGGGAGTGTCTCCTCCCATCTTGCACACCAGCCAAGCACGTAGCCGTGGCCCTGGCCAGGGGGCAAGGGGACATGGCCGTCCCAAGCTGCTAGTCTGCCCGAGCTGTCACCACTGTCACCGCGGCCGCGGGCACGGCCTTACAGACGGTGCTTCCTCTCCCGTGCGTGGACCCTCACCCACAGGCCAACCGCCCGCTTCTCGCCCTGTGCTCAGCCTTCACCCTCCACCCCAGCTTCCCTGACCGCTCCGACCAACCGTGGCAGTCATGTCGCGTCAGCCCACCTGGATGCCTCTCCTGCAGGTGGGGATGCAGGTGCCAACAGCAAGGAGTCCTGACCGCCCACGGCAGCCCGGGGCCGCGCCCACGCTCCCCCTGGTTTCACTCCTCAGGGTGAAGTCTCAGGAAGGGAGGGAGTGACAACCACGAGGCAGTGATCTCCTTTTGTAATTACTGTCAAAGCTCTTATGAATTCCTGGGCCCCACAGCGGTTCTGACGTAACCTCTGTGCTCGCATGAGTTAGGCGTGTTGGGCAAGAGAAAGTGGCTATGCCTGATAAATAAATTAAGCTGCTGTTTGGGTTTAGTTTTAGGTTGAAATCGCCTTTTGGGGATTGCAGCCAGGAATGATGGGGGCTGTGCATCTAAATTTATTAACTTTATATTAAGTGGGATTTTGCAAGTTTGTGGGATAATTAGATAAACTAGAGGAGGCAAGTCCACCCATGGGGTAGGGGACTCTCTTCCCTTTGTCCCCCCACCCCTCCTCCCCCAGGAAGTGGCGGCGGGCCTGGCCGGGACCAGTTCTCCCACCTGCTTGCAAGCCCCACGTGCGGAGGCTTCATGGCAGCGGATGGTTCCTCGTATTAACTACTGAGTCAGGCGTCGGGCCCCCCCAGCACAGGGTTAGCCCCCCAGCAGAACACACAGCTCCATCAGCCTGGTAGTGTAAACGGTCTCTTTCCAAAGTTGGGATTTGTAAAGGGATCATCTTGAATCAAAAGTTTGCCATGCTTGTCATTTAGAAGCTTTCCATTACATTACTGGGTGAGGTTTATCTTTTCACAAGTGAAAAAACAAAAACGAAAAAACAAACTGTAATTATGAAATCTCAGAGCATCGTCGAACTTTTTCCTAAAGGACTATAGGCTCCAGCGCCAAGCTGACACGTCTTTGCCTCTTCTTGTGAGCAAGAAGTAGACACAGAGGTATTTGAAAGCAGGAATGTTATGAGTCATCCTTGAGTGTTCTGAATAAACATTACTTAGAAACAGACAAGCAACTTGGGATTCAAACTGATGTTTCCGTCCTTTTTAAAGAGACACTGTCCCGACCAGCCTTCCTGGCCTGACTCTCTGACCCCGGGCATGAGCCCCCATCAGCAGTGACCCTGATGAGACGCCGTGGCTGTGGCCTTTGGGGTGATGGAAACCGTACCCCTCTCCAGCTCCTTGCAACGTTTGCACTACTTTCTGGCTCTTGCCCTCTCACTCAGCTCGGGTTGTGAAACTTGGCAGAAAAATAGCACAAGGAAAAACCCATATCTGACTTTCAAACACTGAAAAGTTCCCAAGCGACTTCTACTCTCAGCTACCTAGGAGAAGTCACCCCTTTTTACCGACGAGCCAGTCAGACCCCACGTCCACTGCAGCCTGACCTCATGGACGCTTTTCCACCCAGCGAAGCCTGGTCCACTGCACCCCCATGGGCAGCAGAGTCCAAGGAACTGAAGTTTGAATGAAGCCTTTCATCCCATTGGCTGTTTCATGTGCATTAACCTCCCAAGATTGCTTAATGCTAGAATTGACAGATGCTTATCACCACCTCTGGACCCCACATTTTTACCAGAATGTTATTTATGTCCCTCCTGAGTCATTCTAATTTGGAGAAATTAGGATCTTTGCTGCTAATATGAGCACTAATTATATTCATACCTTAAAAACAAGAATAAAGCCTAAAGAAAGTAAATGTGAGAAGTTTTCATTCCTACCCCTAGTCACATTTGGGAGGGGACAACTTCTGTGTCACCCACCCCTAGGGGTTGTGGTTGATTTTTAATTTTCTAGGAAGACAGAATACTGGACTACCCAAACAGATGTTGCTCGAGCCCCCATGGAACTATGCATGTAAAAGCCGTTTTCTACCTGAAAATAGAAATCAGAGTGTAGCCTGTTAACTTATATTTTTAGTGACTAAGCTTAAAACAGAGTTTTAGATAAGTCTAGAGCTTTGAGCAGATTGTTCTAATGGTTGTGTTATCTGTCAGGTTATGAAAAGAATGACAAAAACATCTTGATCAGGAAATTTGGTCCTGTGCATGAATCATGTCATGGCTAGCGGCTGCCAAATAGTGGCCCTGGTCTCGACATAATGGTTTTCTGACTTAAGCATTAGAGGTATAGCACATTAAGAGAATTCTATTAGTTTGGGGAACTGAGAAGTAAATACATCATAGTTTATCATTTGCCAAGGTCAGCAGACAGCATACGGTTTTGCTGCTTGCACCCAGCACCGTTGGTGACCACTAGTTAAACCAGGAGGCTTCATCTAGCCCCCCCCCCGGGAGGGGGGGTAAACCCCAGAGAGAGACCGCTAGGTTGACTTTCACAGTCATTGTCTATCAGACCATTCAACTCACACTCAGCCCTAATTGCCAGGTCAGTCATCGGTTAAGAGGGGGAAAGAGAACTTTAGATGAAAACTACCAGGTACTGCTGGCCTTAAGACAGCAATTCCCTGTTTCTCATCCTGTTGGCAGGTGTGGTTGGGCCAAGACCCATCGTGCTTCACCCATGGAGCCATCAGAGCCAGAGGAGAGAGTGTTCACCAAGCCTTTGACCAGGGTTTTCCTTCTGAGGTTGCATCCACGCTACATTAAGAGCAGGTTAAAGATGAGGAGTGATGAGGTACCAGTCTCTCCTGCAGTATGGCATTGGTTTACGATGCATAAAGAAACCACAACAGACTTACACGGTTTTAAGCAAGTCTTTACAATGCAATACTTGTTCTTTGTCTAAGATTCAAATAAAGAATTTTTAAGCTTGCCTTACTTTGTTCTGTATATATAGAGAAAAAAAGACCCAAAATGAATCTTCAATGTGAAGAGATTAGTAATGAAAAGGGAAACCTAAAATGGCTAGTGGCCTGTTACTGTTTAGATAAAAACAATAGAACTCTTTTCCACTCTTCCCCCTTAGCCTGGTTAAGTAAAAGTTTCCTTTATTGTGTCCAAATATTTCAACTACAATCTTACCAAGGAGAAAAATTTGTCTAAGAACTCCGACTTCGTCCTTCTACATCAGGAACCTGGGTTACTCAGTCACACCACAGGCATCTTCCCAGCTTGGAATGACCAGTGTCACCGTGCATGCAGCTTGTCCTGCAGACTGACAGCAGAGTCCATCCAGGGGTGAGGCATGCAGGCATTCACTGAGCACCCAGTGTATGCCTCAGACACCACTCTAGGCTCACTAGTCCCGCTCTCCTACTTCAGTCCTCCCAGCAACCTGGTCCCTACCATGGTCACGTGACTAGGAAGCAGAATAACCAGTATCTGGACCCACGCAATTTCGCTCCAGCAAGTGGATTCTTGGCCACCATATTGTTTCACTGCCAGAGACAGATCCTGTGTGAGTCCTGCCCTGAAGGAGCTCACAGTTGGCCTGTGGAGCCAGATACAGAAATACACAAAATTAATAACATCAGAGTTCTCTTAGAGGCAAAACTACATGTGTTTCCAAAGACACTGTAACTGACCTCTTTGGAAAGTGAGACCCCAATTCCCCTCGTCTGCCGAGAAAGTTAGCTGACACTGGAGGATGGGCTGAGCAGCAGAAAAAGAGAACGTGGGATTGAGCCACAGGCTTGGTCTCTGGGTGCTGGAGCTGTCAAATGTAAATCCTCTTTATCATCCCAAACCTTCAGTAAAAGCCTGCTGCACACACAGCTTTGTGTCAGTGTTGTTCGGGGAGGGAAGAAAGGGGAGGATGCTTGCTGTGGATTTAGTGAGAAGAGCTCGCAGACAGTAGAGCAGGATGATTTAAAACCAGAGTCCGTGAAGCCACAGAGGTGAACAGGGAAATCCGCCTTCCCCTGCCCCCAAGTCCTATGGGATTGTCCTCTGGGACCTCCCTCTGTATGTGGGGGACGGGTCAAGCCAATTTGCGGATCTCAAAGGAGAACCACAGCTGACAGCTGGATTGAACCACACACGGTGCCACGAACGGAGGGCTCTTCTCACACACTCTGCAACGCATCTAATTGTACCTCTCGTTAGAAAGGTGGACCACTTCTGCTGTTTCGTTTACCCTATTGGACCTATAGCCAGCTTCACTCCCATCACACCCATTTGGTGTGATCTGTACGCAAACGTGGGCAGAGAATCCATCCCTCAGTTCACTTCCTAACAGCTGATGCGTGTTGAAACACGCATGCCAGACTGGGCTAAGCATTTATGAGCATTAGCTTGTTAGGCTTTACGGTAGCCTTATGACATACGTATGTACTATTATTCACGTGTTCCAGATAAAGAAATTGGCACAAAAGACGAAGGAACTTGCCCAACATCTTACAACTAGCACATACCAGAGCTGGGATTGGAAATGAAGTCTCTCTTGATTTTCAAACCACATTCCTTTCACTATGCCACGTTGCCACTCATCCTCTAAAGCCACAAAGGAAGCAACAGGAGACAAAGTAGAGAGGACGAAACCAAGCCACATATCACAGGCAACGAGGGGGTGGAGGTATGTTCAGGAAAGAGGGACAATAGCTAAGACACAAGATCCAACAGTGCCCATGGGTTTTCTGCAAACTCCTTCCCTCTGAAGCCACATGCCCAGTGCTGGCTGCACGTGGAGCCCACAGGGGGGCTGTGCCCCGCTTCTTCTGGACCTGTCCTTGTGGTCTGCATCCTGGATGAGTGACCCAGTGGGGTGAAGATGAGCTGGGTGGTCCAATAATTGAAGGCCTCAGGCGCAGCTGACCTCACCCTGCTCACGTCCAAGAGCCCAAGTGTGACATTCAGCCCTGTCCCCAGGCTGCATCCACCGCCTCCTCTTTCCATCAAAGTTCTGTCTACAAAATTTTCACTGCTGAGTTAACTTCTAGTATGGATGCTGACTATAAGATGGGAGAAGATGCTTCTGTAAGAGATTGCTGATGTCTGGATCCAAAACTAAAATGTTTTTGTCCAGAAGGAAAGGACAGATCTTCAAAAGAGATGGAACATGGCCATATTAAGAAGTGGGCCATCTGGTTAGAATAACTGTTTGCAGCACTGTCTCTCCTGAAAACTGTGCTCATTCAGATGGGGGGGGGGGGGCGGCTTGTGGTGCTAACCCCAAAACCCACACAACTATACATTATTTCCTGATGTTGACAGTATAGCCCTACATGGGTGAGCATCAGCTGGTTACAAAGGAAGAATGGAGAACCCCCAAAGCCAGCCCTGATGCTCATTTCTTCTGTGTCCTGCTTGACTTTCAAAGCCTCCGGGGTTATCCACACTGCCTGAGCACCCAGTGGAACTTGCATTCTTGGGCTGCATTTTGGCACAGACCGTGGGCTAGAGGTTGTGGCCCCAGAATTTAAAACTTTGCCACAGATTCTAAGTGTTGGCCCAGGCTCAGACACATACCACCAATCTGTGGGACATGGTATGGATGAACCAGACAATATCCTGTCCTCAAAGACATGCGAATGACGTCTCTTCCCTGGGTCCATGAGGTCACCACTCTATTCCCACAGAAAAGTAAATTTCCAGAAGAGGGTAAGATTTCTGGATAAGCGGAAAAATAAGTTTATTTGGACACAAGCTGCTCTCAGGAGAGCTTTGGGATGAAGATCCATTGGCCGGTGTCTTTGTCACGGCCACAGAGCCCACCCACTCACTTGGCTGCTGGTCCTAGGACACAAAAGAATGCATTTCCCCACATCATCTCTGGTCTCCTGGCGGCGCTGGACTTCTCCTCTGCTAAGTGACGTGTCCACAGCAGACCCACACACGGCCCCTCAGCCTGGCAGCCTGGAGGAAGGCAGAGTTGCAGCAACCCCCACACCGCTAGCGCCGCCGTCTCCATCAAATCCTCAGCAGGAGGGGAACTGGGAATCCATCTTAATTTGAACAGTGTGAGCAGGAAAGATGCTGGGACATTTAACCTCTTGTTAAGCAGCCCTACGGTTGCCACTCAGGTGAGCACAACTGGAAGCACATTCCAGCGAGCAGCCCATTTGGGGCTGATGCTGTCTCCCCAAGATTTATAACCCGGTACAAGTCAACAGAGCATGAACAGTCCAAGGAGGGAAAGATCTACTCTCAGACAGACGGAGGGTGGGGGCTCCCACAGCTGCTGCTTGCCCTTCTCCTTGCCGAGCTCACCCCTGCAACGGCCTGTGTGCACCCGCCGCCCCTGCGTGACAGTGCGCTCCAGAAGGGCGGGAAGGCTGTCCGCGCCCAAGCCAAGCCCTGTCCCCAGTAGAGTCACAGAGTGCTTGGGACATGATGGCACTTTGGGGCATTTAGGCTAATCGGTATTTTTTTGTTGAGTTGAAGTACTGAGCGTTTAGAAAGCCACAGACTCCGTCTTTCCTGGAGTGTACGTGACAGGCTGGCATTTGTCTCCTGTGTTGGCACCACACGCTAGCGACATCACCCTACAAGCATTCACGGAGCCCGCGCAGAACGGGACACCTGCTGCCCGGTGCTGGGGGGGACCACCAGGGACTCCGCAGAGCCCGCCTTCCCGCAGCAGAGAAGGCAACATGAGCTGTCCTCTCCCCTTTCTTACTCCCTCCGACTTCCGACTGTGGCAAGCTGGAAGCGACCTGGGAAGAGGCTGCAGACTGTGGGTCTGCGAGGACGGCCTCCGTTCTGCAGCACTTGGGAACTTGCTAGAAAGGCAACCTCTCTGGCCCCGGCCCAGACCTACCGAGTCAGACTCTGAGGCCGGGCCCAGCGATCTGTGTTTTCACAAGCCCTCCAGAGGGTTCTGATAGGAGTTTCTGAACCACCCATGGAGCTGCCTGTCGGAGAGGCTGGAGGGAGGGAGGGAGGGAGGGTAGCAGGCTGCCGCCGTCAGCCCTCCCCAGAGCAGGACTTCGCCACGAGGCTGGGAGAGCCCCCAGAGAGAATGCCCCCCTCGTCCCCCTCCGTCGCGGCTCTGAAGGTCTGTCTGTGCCCCATGCTCCACGGGGCTGGCTGTGGCTCTGACCCCCTTTGGCTCAGCACTCTGTTCCTGGGCCCACACTTTGCACGGTGCAATCACCTGGGGATCTTTAGAAACTGCTGCCGCCTGGCCCCCACCCTCAGACGCTCTGACTTCATGGGCACAGGGTGTGACCCCGCCCGGCAGGGGTGGGGGGCGCGCTAGCATTTCCCCAGGGGATTCTCACGTGCAGCAAAGTTTGGGAACCAATGAGCAATGTCTTTGGAGGCCAAGACCTAGCTCGCATTCTACCGCTTACAGGCCTAGAGCTGGGGGCCAGAGCAGGTTCCAGGGACAAGAATTAAGTGTGTCTGGATGATCAGAGGCCAGACTCAGCAAATAGCTGGTCAAGAAAGGAGGCACGGGAGGGAGGGCAGAGAGGGAGGGAGGGGTGGCGGCTGGCGAACATTGGATTCACTGGTGGAGATGATGTCAGACATTCCTCTGTGATGTTAGAACTGGGGAACCGCGTGAACAGACTGGGGCTGTGAAAATGGAACTTGCTGTGAAATGGCATATTCTTGGAAGGAGAGAGAGCAGGGAGGGGAAGGGCCAGGCCAGAGAGGGCACCAGAGGCCGGCTGGCTCCCTGGCTTATTTTGCGAAGAGAGACGGTCTGGGTTGGCCCGAGGAGCAGGTGCAGGAGGATCACTGCTGACCCAGAGGAGCCTGAAGCCACAGAAGAAAGAGGAGCCAGGAGGGAGCTAAGGAATCACACGGACGCTGGGGTTGACCCAAACCCACCCAGCTCCAGCCACACAGAAGGTTCTGTGAAAAGGCTGAGCGGACAGCTTCTCTCCACAGCAGCACCGCGGGAAGAGACGGGACATGGCCGATGGC